TTGAGAAAGGTGATATCGTAGGTTCCTAATTTTGCAGAGCAAGAGTTTTGGACTTTTATGATTGGCGGAGGCATCGGAAATTACTTAGGGATAATGATTGCTTGTCCGATTAAAAGATACGGAAACATCTCTTCAATCATTGTTCGAATAAACAATTTAAAAACTTCAAAAAGAAAAACGTTTTTAACCAACTTAACAAAGAGGTTTCGTCTGAAGAGGGAGAAATACTGTTTTCTGTAACCCAGGCCAGTTATTTCGCTGTCTCGAATGAAGCACGAAACAACAGCTTCTTTATGGCATCAGCTTACTTATGACATCAAAGTGCTGATAAAATGCTGAAAACCGTTGTGAGTCACCATTTAAGGTGGAAAAGTGTGGTAAAACCAAACCCAAAGATATCAGAATGGCGAATCACAATGAACCAATCAGAACACGAAGTCAATGCACGTCGCCGTTTCGTGAGAAAAATTGGAACTGATTTTGGCCTTCATCTACTCACTGGCTGAAAGTATACTCTTGCTATGATTGATAATAACACCCTCCTGAACGAATTGCAAGCTGAAGTAGATATATTATTTCTTTCCAAGGTAATTAGAGATGTACATGTGTTCTAAATACATTTTTAGAAAACTGCTAATCGCAGTTAATTTGTCTTAAACAGGTGAAATGCTTCTTTGTTACCGATGGTATCATTGAGGATCGTTCTAAGCGTATCAGTCTACTCCAAGAAAGAAACCACTTCCAGGACATGGTATTTCAACCGCTTCGTGGAGGCATGGAATTCGGGCTGCGCTTTCTAAATCAAATCAAATGGGTGAATGCTAATTTTGATTTCAAGTACCTTCTGAAGGTCGATGACGATTACTTTGTGTGTTTAAAGAGACTTCTAAATGAGCTTCCCTTAAGACCGACAAGCAATCTAGTCTGGGGACATTTTCACTGCGAAGCAGGTATTACGTGGGTGGATGAGGCGTTCGTGATATTTTCAAACGATGTGATCCACAAATTTGTAGAGCAAGACGAGAACAAGACGTTATGTCACCCGTTTGCTGATCAGCAAATAGGCCTGTGGATGCAAAACTTGCCCAAAAGGTATTTCCATGATCCAAGACTGCATCATGATCCGCCCGCTTCGTTTTTGCCAAAATTTCAAAATATTTCCAAGGTGTGCGACTCGTATCTTGGGATTCACGGCACCTATGTTGAGGAGATGAGAGCATTTGGGAAGAATGACAACGATGGTCCAAAAGATGTGATGCCTACTCCCGACTTTTCAACTTATTGTAAGACTATGAGATTTGACCATCGTGTGTTTGGACGAGACTTTCGTTTCGATCCCAGACCTTGTAGAGAAAACCCGAGGTGGAATAATTCAACAATTATGCCGGCTATCTACAGTCGAGAAAATTTTAGGCCCAAAAAGTAGATACCAGTGAGAAAAGGGGGCGGCAATTCCAAGGGGGGTTCACAAGCTGGCGGGTATAAAAAGAATTAGAAAAAATTGCAATGTTCATATTTTATAAGAAACGATTTGGAAATACACGAGACAAGAAATATAAGTGATAGAAACCGATGTTTCGGTGCATCTTGCCCCATTATCAAGGTTACATAATTAATGATAAAAAGCGGTTTGTGAAGAGGCTAAGTTGAAGCGAATTTGCATACGGAGAGTACCAAGCTAATTACATGAATACTTTAGCACGAAGAGAATCAGACTGTACATTCAGTGCTGATTTAAGATATTGAATACATAGCATTTCATTAACAAGGCAGTCAAATTTGTTCGTGCATTATTTCTATCACTTATATTTCTTGTGTCATGTTCATATTTTCGTCGCAGAAATAGTAAACATTTTGAAACGAAGTTTAGAAAACAAGAAATGTTGTGGGAACACAATGAACGTAACAGAGTATTCCCACAGCTTCTTGGAGTTCTCTCATACCTTCTATTATATAAAACATTTAGATTATTAGCTCGTGATTTCTGTCGCGTATCTGACGAAAGGCGCAGCGCGAGTCAACTATGAAGCATGCAAATCGAATTATCTAATGATTGTTTTAGTATAAATCTACGAGTCGATCAAAACTTTATCTAAATTCTCTTCAGAGACAGTTCGGAGATGGTGAGAAGTTGGTGCCAGTTTGTTATAATAATAATAATAATAATAATAA